TTGGATAAAGTTTTAAATTTAAAAGTTGGATAAATTTTTAAACATTTGGATAAACTTTCGGCCAAGCCATATTAATTATTGAACGCTTCTACTCGGAATTGCCAATTCCGACTGATTAAAAGCAAAGAAATGTGGCATGCCAAATTTGTACGGGTAATTCGGAGCTTTCAATATAATGTTGCTTTTCCACATTCTGTCCATAATAATTGGAATAAGATTTATAACTCCTAACATAAAAAACAATCATACCTCCTTCCCATAAGAAGATTCTCGTCCACTATTCACATGTTCAACTTAAATCATTTTTTATATTTTACTCTATAAATATATTTTTTTGTCAAATTTACATTTTTTTTATCAGACTTTGTAGCGGTTTTACTGTAGTTTTTGAATATGTTAATTTTATTTACTAAAAATAATCAGATGTGAACATGGATTAAGTTGTTTCATCGTCAATCAAGCATTGTAAACCGTAAACGGTAACCTTCTAGCGGAACGGAGAGAGTAATAATTAAGTCTCCTTCTCAACCATTCATTTTTGAAAATAATGATAATCAATATATACCAACTCCCAACTATTCATAAATTTACAAGTCATTAAAATTTACTCCCTCCGTCTCATTGGAGCAACTTTCTTTTTCTGTGTGTCCCCAAAAAAAAATTATAACTTTCCTTTTAATGTAATTAATTTGTGGCTATGTTCATTTTCTTTCTCCTCTACACAAACGTCAATCACACAATTTTTACTATTCTAATTTCACACCCAACAATAACTTGGCAAAATTAAGTAAGACAGAGTTAGTAATTTTTTTTATATAAGACCTTAAAAGTTATATCAATTTAAAATTTTAATGTTTGAAATTTATATTTTAAAAAATATATGCAATATTGGTATCATATGAAAGATGGTAAAAATTTATGCAGTTTAATATTTTTTTTGTAAAATTTGAAGTATAAATAAAAAGTTATAACAACTTTTAAAACATTTTTTTTTTTTTAATTTTTGGGTTCACGTTAATTTCTTTCCGCACTGTAGCAAACTTGACCCAGGGATGGGTCTAACTTTTTAAAAATATATATATATATGGTATCTGAATTGGCTATTCTAACTAAGGATTTTTTTTTTAATTTTTAAAATGCCCGTCGGAATTGGCTCTTCCAACAAGTGATTTTTTTTTTTTAATTTTTAAAATGCCCCAGTCGGAATAGGGTAATCCGACAGCAGAAGTCAATTAAATTTTTTCAAACCCTTCCCCTAGTCGGAAGAGGACAATCCGATTCCCGTATTTTTGGAAACTCTAGTTTTATCCCCGTAATTTGGCACCTCCCGTTAACTATTCTCTTATTTTGGGAAATCACCCGTGTTATGGGTTCGAATCCCCAAGGCTGCTACATTTTAGTTTGCTTCCATTGCCTTCACTTTTCTTAGTTTTGAATATTTGACTCCGCCATTCATATTTAGATGCCTCATGCCTAGTAATTTTGTTCAATTGAATCACTGTTTGACATGATGTTTCTTAAACCATACTCTTTAAATTTTTATAGAATTTGTTTTACATTCTTGTTTTTTAATACAAATTACTCCATTTGCAAAAAAAAAACAGATTACACTATTGGGAAAATTGTTTTAAATAAGACTGAAAATGTTTGTGTATTCCTAAATAGTATTTTAATTCCCTGATTGTATTATTTACAAAAAATTAACATGTTGAAAATTTAAAGTGGGAATAATTTAATTATATTTTATAAAAAATAAAGTTTTAATGTATTCGTGAATAAAATATAGTTAAAGTAGAACACATGAATTGCGTAAATTTTTTGATGTTTTAACTATTTAAGAACGGAGTCAGTATTTACTAGTGCACCAGAATAAGTAAAAAGTGTACTCATTCACATTTTCACCGGAACAACCCTTTTTAATGGAGTCGCACTATATATGTAATGATTAATTTTTACTCGTTTTTCTTTTATCCTTATAAAAAATTATTTTGTAATTTTTTTTACTGTGTATATATAAGAGCACCCCTTCGAATTTATTTCTGGTTCCACCACTGAATTGGTTGATGAAATGGTTAGGTAAACTTCCTCAATTTATGTTTGACCATACATCTTTATATAAACCTATCTTTATATAAAACTATGTACATCTTGAACTTTGTTATTGTTATATACTTTAATCACAAAGAGAACCAACAAATTAATAATTTGTTCGGTAAGTAGTATTAGTGACTATGATAGTTTATTTCTAATCCCGGTTTGCACTAAGTTGGATGGTTTCACCACCTTATTGTTTGAGTTGTTTGCTAAGTAGTATTCTGGACTATAGAAGTTTATTTAGTCCAAATTTGCACTAAGCTGTATGGTTTACCATCTGATGGTTTGGGCTGCTCTGCTCAAAATCCTCCTGCAAAGGGAGGGAGAGCAAATAGGTATTAGTGTATTATGAAGCCGAGAAGCCTTCCTATTAAAACTAAGCATTTAATCAGTTATATGATGTGAATAGACTCTGATTTACAAAATCTTTATCAAATGGGTTAAAACTACAATTCCATAATCTATAATTCCCCTTTAGAAAATCAAAAGGAGTTGTCAATCTATCTAATATGAATGAACACACACTGCACCACCTTAACTAAAATTAAACAAAACTAACTTTTTGGTTTGTTACGTTGAGTATTCATCCATCCATAAAAGTTTGCTTTACCAACTCTTTGGTGAAATATGCCGGTAACTCGAGACTCAAGAGGCAGTAAGTTATATTCAGAGCACGTCATAAGAAGATATTTTTCAGGTTTGATAATTTTTACCTAATTCTGATATTCTTATGAAGTGGTTTAATCATCTTCTTCTAGGTTTGTATAGAAGCTCCAAATATTCATTTTATGTATAGAAGCTTTCATATACATTGTGATGTTCTTGGCATTTGTTTCAAAGATGAACCCGATCCGGTTCTGGTACGATTACTTGGTCTTCATGTCACCACTTTTCAACATTTTGATTTCAGACCACCCAGTTCTCCGTACCTGCCTGAGTATAATACCATCTACATTACAGAAGTCACTATATGTAAGAGATAAAACCAGTCTAATTGAAAAAGGGACACAAATTCAGAAACAATAAAGAAAATCTGATAGTGAAAATTTTGACATAGATTCTTTATCTATCTACAACCTTTTTCTTCCACTCATAGTTATTTATACAAACAAGTCTCCTTTGGTGCGATCTTTAGAACTTCTAGGCATGTAACACCTGTTGCTATCAAACACATCCCACCAAATCATTTTGATGACGGTGTGAGCAACTATGTAGTGAGTCTACTAAGATTCATTACAACTTCAAGGTTCCCCACTTCCAAAATGAAATTTTAAGACTATAGAGTCAACTCAGTTCTGTACTGTTTTATTTTAGCATTATGAACCGTTAGCTTTGGTGAATAAAACTCCACCCCATTATTAGTTATGAATGGCTCTCATGAGATAAATATCACACAATTATGACTACCCTGTTAGTTAATAAAGAAGCCTAATCTATATTTGTAGCAACCTAATGTGTAAGTAATAAACCATGTACAAAACACTAGATAAACTATAATTTAAATGAGTAATCAATGACACTCTTTAGGTGTTATACTTCGTGCATTAAGTTAGATTGATACCATTTTGCTGATATTTCAGGGAAGATGAAAATTTGGCTCTTGGGTACTTGGAAAATCTGCCAAAAGTCCAAAGATTTTAGTATTTGACATGATCATCATGTGTCTATCATCTTCCGATAAAGCTGTACTTTTTGAATATGTGAGATGAAGTATTTAGCAGGGGAACTTCACTGGATGCCAAGATTTTACATGCACTACGCTTGAAAGTACGATCTGAATCATTGGCATGGAGCTGATTTCATTTTAGCTGCATTTGGTAGAGAGCAAAAGCACGAAGGGATGAAGACCATGAAACACTCCTTTCTATAATTTGATATGAATGTAAATTAGAACAAATTTATTTCTTTGAATTTGTTCAAACTCTGTGGGTTGTGAATTATTTTGTGAGTTTTACTTGATGACGGGTAAAAGACCAAGTGTGAAGGGATTTGATTGTGTTGGTTTTTTTTTGTGTTTATGTTTTTAAAAAATTAATTCTAAAAAAGAGGAACAAAGCAAACATTCCCTTATTGTGTACAAAGAGGTATTTACCAATTTGTAATGATATATTTTATCTTAAATAAAATTGTGCTTTTTAATACAAATTCAAAGGCAAATGTTACGAATTCATTTAGTAAAATAATTAAATTACTATCAAATAAAATAAAATGACTTTTCATCCCGTGCGACGCACAGGTAAAAAAACTAGTTAGATGTAATATTTGCTTTCGATGTAAATAAATGGGGCCCATTTATTTATACGGAGTATTACAAATTTATATTTATATAATTTAATATATAATATTAATATAACATATAAATAAATGGGCCCCATAGAAACGATGGACCCTGGCCATGTGCCCCTTGCCCTCCCTCCAGAATCGGGCCTGATAATCTATTATTCCGTATGAAATTTAACAAATTAATTATTGAGGTTGTTATTTTTTATCTTGTGTAATTGTTTGATGAATTAAATAAACTATAAATATGTTATTAGTCTCATTATTTATTACTGGTGAAATTTAATCTATTTTTTCATGAAACGTATTTTATTAGTAAATACATTTGTTTTTGCTACTCCCTCCGTTCCTAAATAAAATTCCAACTTTCCTTTTTCGTCCGTTCCAATTAAAACTTCCACTTTCCCCTTTTGGTAAAGAATTTGTGGTTCACAACATTTCTTACACATTTCTCTCTCCTCTGCACAACTCTCCACCACACAATATCCACTATCTTAAACTTTGTGCCAAAAGCATTTGGAAGTTAAAATGGGAAAAGAGGCAGTATTATGTTTAATATTAACTGGAATTTAGCGGAACTTTGGTTAATTTATTACTATTACCATTATTATTATATTTATGTTGTATTTTGCATTGTCTTGTAAAGAAAGGTCCAATTTTTGCTGGTAAGAGGGTCTCTATTTTTCCAGGACCGGCCGCTCCACACCACAATCCGACGGCGAGCAGACGCATCCCGGCTGTTTTGTACTCGTATTGGAGTCTCTTCAACGCGGTTCCTCCCAAGCCTTGGCGATTAAGCGCTTCATACTGCACCGGGAGGGAAACCATGACTCCCGAAGAGCTAGAAAAGAAGAAGAAGAAAGAGGAAAAGGTTTAAGCACCCATGATTTTACATTATGCTCATTCCCTTCTTTAATCCCCACATTTTTCGCTTACTGTGCTTCCTAATAGTACTATTGAGTTTCTGTCATCGGGAGCCGACATAATGTCATTTCTGAGTTGGGATATGCTGGGAATTCTGAATTTAAACTTTAAAATTTTATGTCCTCGGGTTATGAAGTTAAATTTGTCTCTTTCATGTGGCGCGCCTCTGCTCTAATAATAGTAATTGTCATTTCCCCCATCTCAGGCTAAAGAAAAAGAACTGAAAAAACTCAAGGCAGCACAAAAGGCAGAAGCAGCTAAGTTGCAGGTAAAACTTATCTGTTCCAGTCCTTGATGTCAATATTGAAGACAATATAGTAATCCTTAAGCTTTAATGTGGTACTATAGTTGCAATTCTTAAGATTTATCATGTTATTATTGCCGGAACTCTTTTATATGATTCTTGATTTGTGCTGAAGGCGCAACAGGCTGCCACTGCTCCCAAGACATCTAAGAAGAAAAGCTCAAAAAGAGAAGGTGTAGATGAGAACCCGGAGGATTTTGTTGATCCAGAAACACCCTTGGGGAACAAGAAAAGGCTTTCTACTCAAATGGCAAAGGCATACAATCCTAGTGCTGTCGAGAAATCGTGAGTGTCCTACTATTGTCTTTATTGCAGGTTTAATAATGGATTTCACTTTCATACTGTTATACTTTTCTCTTATCATTCTTTCATAAGTTTGCTTTGCAACCCAGCCAACCCTTAAAGTAAGTTTTTTTTGCCTTAGGTGGTATGGTTGGTGGGAACATTCAAAATTCTTTGAGGCTGATTCTGCAAGCTGCAAACCACCTTTTGTGATTGTAAGTTTTCCTAATTATCTTGATGAATTGCTCCAAAGAAGTGAAACAACCCAAACTTGTTAAAAGCCCTATAAAGCACACTTAAGCAACTAGAATGAGTGGCCGGCTCATAAGGACTTTGCTTTTGTGAAGCGTGCACTTTTGTTTTTCTCACATCACAAAAGCGAGTCATTTTTAAAACATAGCCGTAGGATTCATATCACGATCTTCAAGGAAAAAGGACTCACCCAGGGCATAATCTGTCAACCTCAAGAAGTGTGGCATCTCTATGTAAACAGTAAACCTTAAACTCTTCAAGTCTTTGTATTCTACATTTCTACCTTGGTCTTTTCTGATTTTCTTCTTCTATACTTGTGAATTACTCAAGTTCAACTTTTTTCTATTTGTGTTCTCACGAGCTGAACATGAGTGGAAATCCTGGGTTGCCTTTGGTTGTCACCTCTGTAGGAACTAGCCAACTACATGATTGTATTGTAAATTAACATTGATGCCTTCGTTGTGCTGCATAATTTTAAAGAGCAATTATGCATCAAAGCAACTGATTCATGATCTTTAAATAAAAGAAAAGATTTTTTTTTCAGTTATCAAGTCCTAGACACGACAAAAAATAGTGAACATCCATTATTTCTATTGTAACAGAACAAAAGAAACCTCCAGGCCTAAATGCATAGAGTGGGTATTGTATGCTTCATGTGCCATCGTATGATCTTAGAGTAAAAGATTAATTAGATTAAACAGGGATAACCGTACACAATGTAACATGACAATCAATGCCTTTACTTGGGCAATGCAATTGCATCTCGGAGAACCTAAGAACTAATTCCGCGAAACAGTCGTTGGCAAGGGGGTTTGTATGCAAGTCGAAATAGTGTTGCATATCCATGAGGGAAACATGCTTTAGTCACAATAGCTGGATATTGCATTCTTCTAATCAGTAAGCATAACTTCCTTAATAGGGCCCTAATCTATTAAAATACTGTTATTACTTATCTGTAATAAAATACTTTGACTCACGCTTCAGCAATTTGTGGACTGCTTACGCTAATTAGAGTGGGAAATGATGAGGCTTGCGCCTTTTGTGCTGATGGATGCCCTGAGCTTATGCAATGATGCAGGATTGAGGCGTAAGCATTAGTCTTGTAAGGGTTTAGTTAAATAAGTTGGTCCCTCCAAAAAACTGCCATTTTTCAGTTTAAGCCTCACTGAATCTTCTGCAGCAATTACCTCCCTTCTGCAACTTCATTCTTTTCTAACTCCTCTTCTCTACAAGATAGAAAATGTGTTTTCCTGTTTTTTCCTGTGAATAACTCGTTAGAACTTATATGTTGTGATTTCAGTACAAGCATTATAACCCTCTGGTTCTGTACAAGTTCTGTTTTGTTTTTCTCAGACCAACTTAATATGTTATGAAGAACAATCCTTTGGTGTTTTCCCTTCTCCCCACTTCTACATGTTTTTTTCCCACTTAATACAACAACATCAACATCCAAGCCTTAGTCCCAAAAGATATTGGGGTCAGCTAACATGAATCGATACATGATATCACCACCAAAAGGAAAAGAAAGAAAATAAAGATAAAAAAGATAAGCTATGATAAAAAGATAATATAAAAAGAGATGAATATACATAAAAATGATAAAATAAAAAGGATACAAATAATGCTTATATATATAAGGATAAAAAACAAGGAAAAAATATGAAGGGAAAAGATGATACGAGATCACTCCTCCACACGAATACCCGCCCTCCACTTAACTCTCTCCAAAGTCATGCCCTCATCCAACCCCAGAAGAAGCATATCACTTTGAACTCCCCTAACCCACGTCTATTTGGGTCTTCCTCTCCCTCTCTTCCTTGCCTCTTCTCCTCACATCTCAACTCGTTTGACAAGTGCATCACTCGGTCTTCTACGCACATGACCAAACCACCGTAGGCGTGACTCCCGCATCTTGTCTTCAATAGGTGCTACTCCCACCCTTTGTCTGATTGTCTCATTCCTCACGCGATCCTTCCTAGTATGCCCACACATCCAACGCAGCATGCACATCTCTGCCACACTCATCTTTTGAATGTGACACTGTTTCACCGCCCAACACTATACGCCATACAATAATGCAGGCCTAATTGTTGTCCTATAAAATTTACCCTTTATTCTAGTCGACATACCTCGATCTCATAGAAATCCTGATGCACTCTTCCACTTCATCCACCCTGTTCTAATTCTATGAGATACATCTCCATTTAACTCACTGTCCTTCTGAATTATGGAGCCAAGTAACGGAACATATCGCTGACCGGTATCTCCTTACCATCCAGAGTAATTCCGCTATTACTGCCGCTTCTACCTCCACCAAACTTGCACTCCATGCTACGACTTAGTTTGAAACCCTTATTCTCCTATGTTTGTCGCCATACTTCCAACTTTGCTTTAAGACCTGATTGCGTCTCATCAATCAATGCAATATCATCAGCAAACATCATGCACCGCAATATATTGTCTTGAATTGACTTCGTAAGTTCATCCATGACTATGGCAAATAAGAAAGGGATCAGAGTCGATCCTTGGTGCACTCCGATAGTAATAGGGAACTCTTCAATCCCGCCTACACTAGTACGGACATTTGTAGTACAATCCTCATACATATCCATGATGATGGTGATATACTTACGTGATATGCCTTTTCTAGTTAAGGCTCACCAAAGAACTTCTCGAGGTACCCTTTCATATGCCTTTTCTAAGTCAATGAACACCAAATGCAGATCGTTATGAGCGTCTCTATACTTCTCCATAAGTTGCCGAAGAAGGTGAATGGCCTCAGTTGTTGAGCGACCAGGCATAAAACCGAATTGATTCTTTGAAATCTTCACAGTTCTTCGAAGTCTTTGCTCAATCACTCGCTCCCAAAGTTTCATGGTGTGACTCATAAGCTTAATCCCTCGATAGTTGGCACATTCTTGTACATCACCTTTATTCTTAAATAAGGGGATAAGAGTACTCTTCCTCCAACTCGTTGGCATCTTGTTGTTTCTCCAAATCATGTTGAAGAAACTTGTTAACCACTCGACGCCCCTCTCTCCCAAACTTCTCTAAGCCTCGATCGGTATGTCATTCGGACCCACTGCTTTCTTCCGTCCCATCTTCCTCAGAGCTTCTTTAACTTCCATTGTTTGGATCCTTCTTACAAAATCACGATTTACCATACAATCTGGTATGGACAAATCACCGATATCTTGCGTTTTGTTCTCGTTGAATAGTGTATCAAAGTATGACCTCTGCCTCTCTTTTATCTCTCCATCGTCCATTAATATCCTCTGATCGACATCCTTCACACACTTATCTTTTGCAATATCTTGAGTCTTGCGATCACGAAGACGAGCAAGTTTATAAATATCTAGTTCTCCTTCCTTAGAGGTGAACTTTTCATACAACTCCTTGTTCACTTTCCCTCGTGCTTCCCTTACGACTTTCTTTGCTTGTCTTTTAGCCTCCTTGTATGCTTCTATGTTCTCATCACTCCAACTTGTCCCCAACTTTTTGTAGCGATATTCATATTTCGATTCATGTCATGTGATGTGACTAGGTGATACTGTTGGCCGTCACACGCCTACCACAACACCCTCCTCCTTTGTCCTGGCTTGGGACAGGCATGATACCAAAAAAATGATATCATGGCGGAGTTAGATATTATAATTCCATGTTTGATAACAAAATTTCCCAAGTTTCAATATCAAAACACGAAGGTTGGGAAAATTTAAGAGATAATTCCCCAAATAAGAGTAAAACATGGGAGAAGTGCAAAAATAGGAGTAGGATTTCAAAATTCCTCAAATAGGAGTATTTGTTTTCCAGCTTGGACAATAATACCCATGCAGGGATTTGGGCCAGCCACCACTGCTGCCAGAGCTGCTGCCGGTACTGCCGCCAGATCTCCGTCGCCTTCAGAAAATCTGCCGCCGCCATTCGCCGGAGCTCCGCTTCGGTCGCCGCCGCCACCAACAGACTGACCTAATTATTCAAGGGAACTAGGGGGGCGCAATTAATTATGTAGCATATTAATTAATTAGAGTAAGACAGCAGGTGTATCAGGGGTAGAAAATTAATGTTTACTCCTATTTAGGGAAAAGTGATATGTTTTACTCTTTTTAAGGGCAATTTCTTAAAAATTAAATATAGGATAAAAAACACGGCGCACAAGCTAATCTGCACTTCATGTTAGAAATCAAGTACATGAATACATGTTGACTGTAGATGGTATAATGTGCATGACTGACCAAACTGGCTGTAGCACATTCTAGAACCAGCCTTTGGCTTTCAGAAATCTTTGCTATTTTCTGATGCTTGCACTTACTATTTCCATGGGTTTATGACATTGTTATTTTTTGTTTTGACTATGGAATTTGTTCAAGTTTAATGAATTTTTCTTCTTATTTGAATTTTTTTCATATTATTTGTAATTTCCATATATAATTAGCATTTGAACTGACTCCTGAGGCTTACCGCTTACCCCACATTGTGCAATGAAGCTACTAAAACAATACACAATCCTTACACCACTTCTGTTTATAAAACAATCACACTACACCACTTCTGTTTTCCAGGATAATGGATACTGAAATTTTGTAATAGCCATAATTAAATTTCTTTACCGAATGCTTGCATATTGCATATTATATTGCAATTTTTTGGAACAATAAATTAGAATTTAAAGGGTCTCATTTACTGTAGCGTGACACAATTTATTTATGAATTATGGCGTATGATTGTTATGACTATTTAAGCGTTTCTTTTTTATGTTTTAGTTCTATGTTTTTATGCAAGTGTCACTTTTTGTGAGAAAGCAAGGCTTCGCTTTAAAGTTTAAACAAAGACCTACATCGTCGCTTTTGTGCACTTTTCACTCTAAAAAACTTCGTAACACCTGTTAACTACAACTGATTCTTGGTTTTCAAGTAATGTCACTTTGAAATTGAATGCTCACTTTTTTCCTCTTGCTGGACTCTAGGTTTTGCCACCACCCAATGTTACTGGTGCACTACATATTGGCCACGCTTTGACCGCTGCAATCGAGGTACATTAATAATACAGATGCTAATTACAGTGAAGGTTTGATTTTATGGAGTACCATATACGGAGAAATTTTCATTTCAACTTTGTTTGACTGTTTTTTTTTCATTGAAAGGATATGATTATTCGCTGGCGTAGGATGTCTGGTTATAATACTTTGTGGGTTCCGGGAATGGACCATGCTGGAATTGCAACGCAGGTAATCTTTATCCTTTGTTATCCTACTTATCCCTTATTCTTGCACATGTTGGTTAAACTTGAAGCAGCTGTCTTGAATGAAATGGGACCTGAAAATATGTTGTTAGTGTGGATACGTAGGGTTTGTGACAGCACATGTATTGGAACAAGCTTATATGCTTGTGTGACGTGTATTAAAACACTGCACTTTATCCCTGTCAGTGATTTTATAATGTGAATTATCCCTAAGGGATGTGTTTTGAGAACATCTACCAGATGAACTTTTTGCATGTATTCTGGCATATATTGTGTGATGCTGACTTCTTATTTCAGCCTACGCTCATTCGAAATTTGCATTCCAACATTTGTCTTCCGAATCATATTGCATGAATATAGGTGGCCGTGGAAAAAAGGATTATGCGGGATAGGAAGCTAACTAGACATGATATTGGCCGAGAAGAGTTTGTTTCAGAAGTGAGTGTGAACTATCCTAGGCTCCAAGCCTTTTTAGCAATGTTTTTATTCTGAATTTTATGGAAAGACTATTGCACACATATATTTGATTATGAGTATATAAATGCATGAAGGTCATTAATATGCAACTTATCAACAAAAGAAGAATCAACCACCGACACCTTTGAGTACTTTTTTTTATAACTGACGTGTTTTTCTTTTCAATACTTATTCACTCTGTATTAGAATAAAATCTACTAAGAGCTCATCATTATCATCATTATAATTACCCCAGTGCCGCAAAGGCTCCCACCTACGATGGGGTAAGGGGGGGGTCGGATGTACGCAGTCTTACCCCTATACTAAAGCATAGAGAGACTGTTTCCGGATGACCCATAAAATTTACCAAGAGCTGATGTTTCTTTTTTTATTGCAAAGAATCTCTTGTATCTCCCTGTTTATTCTAACTCCTAATTTTTTATAGGTATGGAAATGGAAAACAGAACGTGGGGGCACAATATTGAAGCAACTTCGACGGTTGGGTGCATCTCTTGACTGGTCCCGTGAGGTAATATATTCAATACCATCTCTGTCCAAAATTATTCTTCCCACTTTGAATCGACACACTTATTAATAAAATGGAACTGTATGGTTGTGGTTGAGGTTGAAAAAGGTGAAAGAGTGTTTAGCCACACAAATTATTCCTTAAAAGGAACAACAACATCAACATCCAAGCCTTAATCCCGAAAGAGTATATGGTCGGCTAATATGAATCAACTTATGAAATCAGAGTTAGAAAAGATAAATAGAGAAAAGGGATTAAAAAAAGTCAAATAGAGAAAAAGGAGACAAACAAAAACGGATCAATCCTCCACACATATACTCCTCTCCACTTTGCTCTCTTCAAACTTCATATTCATACTCTCATCTAACTCAAGATGTACCATTTCCTTAGAAGGAAATGTGAAGAAAACTTTAGGACATCCTAAAAAGGTAAGTGGGAAGAAAGTTATAGGATGAAGGGAGTAATGCTCAATAATAACAGTAATAGTTACTACCTCCGTCCCGAAATAATCGTCCTGGTTTGACCTTCACACAGATTAAGAAAGTGAAGTTGACTTCACACTATAGCGACACTGTTTGGCACTGTAGCGACACTGTTTGGCACTGTTTGACACTGTTTTGTATAGATTTGTTTACCAAATAAGGAAAGGAGACAATTATTTCGGGACGGATCGAAAAGGAAAGCAGGACAATTATTTCGGGACGGAGGGAGTATAATTAATTATCCTAGGCATTCTTCATAATTTCCAAACTGCCTTCACTGATGCAGAGTTTTACCATGGATGAAAAAAGATCCAAAGCTGTTACCGAAGCATTCGTTAGGCTATCCAATGAAGGCCTCATCTACAGGTATGCACATTTCTCTCTGTTGATATCAGCACTTATATTTAGATCAGATCATCACAATACCACAGTTGGTTAAGAGTTTTTTTATCTGTACCATTGTCTTTTTTATGTTAACTTAAATATCATTTATCCTGGACGCATGTTGAGATATAGTGCCATTTATATCACTCCTGTCTCTCAGTCCCATAAAATAATTTCACCTTTTCCTTAAATTAAATGGCTCTCCCAAAATGAACTTCATACTTACTGCTATTCCCATCTGAGTGAATTATCTTCATTTAAATATTATTTACTCCCTTTTCTCTATCCATCCCATCTAGTACGCCCTCTCGACTTTTGTTTCTATCATCACATCAACTACAATGTAATGCCAGATATTCTCTTTTCTCACTCCATTTAACCCACTTTTCTTACGGGTGCCTAAACCTAGTCTAAAGTTTAGTATGTGGTAGAGGGAGTATTAAGATCACATAAAAGGTTTTTTGTTAGAATCATCCAGAAATCCCAGCAAATATCAAAGAGAAAGTAAGGAAATAGTATCAAGAACTCCAGAATCTTTATTAACGGTAAAACAATATACTGGCCGAAGCCCCCAAAAGCCGAAGCTCCCAATGAAAGAGATTATTAGTCTCAGTCTTCCCAAGTCCCAAGACAAGTCTAAAACAGCCTACTCTTTATTGCCCACTCCCCTTCTATTTATACTACTCTATCTATTACATTTCTTATTTACTCTTATTCTACCGGGTCCCTAACATATCTCCCCCCCTAAACATCCACCTTGCCCTCAAGGTGGGCGATAGGAAGCAGCCAAGATCTTCTGCTTCCTCTTCATCCTTGCACCTCTCCCTTCCCAATACTTGACTGGTTGATGGACTAGGGACTTTCGTACGAGATCTTTTAAGATCTCAGAACTTTCAGTAGCCGAAGAAATCAGCAGTGAAGATTCATTCAATTCAGTCTCTTTCCAGCACTTGATAGTAAAAAATATTTCTTCACTTTTCTGCAGCTCCTCATATTTTCCAGTCTCTGAAACTAATACTGTATTGGATGCAAGCTCCTTTACGTACCTTTCAACTTCTTCCTCTTTTAATTCTTTACTTACCTCATTTGACAAGGAAAACCTCAAAGGTTTTAGCAAGCAAGTAATGAGATGCATAATTCTAGCTGCAGTTCTCATAACTAAAGAACATGAAAGCTCATCTCCCATGTAAAAGTTCCAAAATTGGTTTTCTTGCACGTAGACAGATCTATCACCATTATACGACATGGCCATTTTCCAACCCTGTTCTAATTTCACCTTTTCATTTGCTTCATTATGTTGTTCCACAAAATTTTCCACTGTTTTCTCATTTAAAGAATCTGAAATTCTGAGTGCTCCTGTTAAAAAACCAACCCACAAATTGGTAGAGGAATCAAGGGTACTTGGATCCCTTCCCTTCAGATTCACAAGAACAAAGGAAACAACTGGGGAATAGTATTGATGATCCCTTGAATTATAATGGTTAGAAAGTCCCTCTTCAATTCTGGGTTTCAAAATTGCTTGAAACATGGTGATAAGATGCTTCTCAGCAATCAATTTCTGATTAGGTACTGCTATTTCAGCCCCTTTGTCAGCAATAGCAAGCCTTCCTCTGCTCACACCCTCCCTCCAATTTAGAGGACCTCCATGTGAAATCACTACCCCAATTTGAATAATGGCATATGATTCCCAAGAAAAAAGATGAACCCGATCCTTAAGAACCACTGGACTAGATCTCTTTCGTTCCAAGCATGAATTCCCTAAAATTATGTCCTCGATTTTAAGTAACCCAGTTTCAGAAGTTCCCAGTGGACATGGTTGGAGAACCAAATCAACAATAGAAACGATGTTCAATCCTTCCAACACAAAGTTTGATGAATGGCGATACATCATATCAGTCTTGCAGACATTTGGCCAGTTCCTCTTCTGTGCAAGATGAGAAGAAATATCGCATACCTGAAGAAGCTTGAACCTATTGGTTTCAAGGTCTGACTGGTCAAGATCGTATTTGGAAAACATCTTACTTCTGGAGAATCCAACAACTGTTCCATCTTCAGGTTCAAGATTAACTGATAGTTTATCACTGAATTCCTCTTCTCCATAGGTGTGCTGCTGAATAACCAAATTCTGCTGCGACTCTGGAAATTCAAATAAAGATTTCGAACTGGACTTGTCTGCTCTAGTCAAAACCAGAGGACCGGAAGAAGTATCTTGTGACTGAGAAGGGTATTTTCTTTTCGAATTCAAGCAGCGACGCACAGTCCTTGACCGTCCTCGCCTACGACATTTTTGTCGCAGCTTGGGCTTCCCCTTCTCCAGGTTTGAGGACTTCTCTTTCTCTGGTTTTGAGCTCTTCTCCTTCTCCATGTTTGAGCGCTTTTCCTTTTCTAGGGTTGAGCGTTTCTCTTTCTCCATATTTCCTCGCTTATCCTTTTCCGCGAGCTTCCCCACTTCTTCGCGCGGCTTCTTTCGCGAGTGCGAAACAGTTCGCGACTCTTTCTGCAACTCCTGCGAGTGCGAATTAGTTCGCGACTCTTTCTGCGAGTGCTGATTGTTTCTTTGCGGGCTTATTTTGCGTATCCTTTCGCACAAACGCCTGGTATCTTCGCGCATTTTTTCCCAAAACAGCCCCCAATCTTCCATCGTTCCTGTACAGGACTACAGGTAACAAGATCGTTTTCTCTGATACCAATGTTAGAATCCTCCAGAAATCCCAGCAAATATCAAAGAGAAAGTAAGGAAATAGTATCAAGAACTCCAGAATCTTTTTTAACGGTAAAACAATATACTGGCCGAAGCCCCCAAAAGCCGAAGCTCCCAAAGAAAGAGATTATTAGTCTCAGTCTTCCCAAGACAAGTCTAAACCAGCCTACTCTTTATTGCCCACTCCCCTTCTATTTATACTACTCTATCTATTACATTTCTTATTTACTCTTATTCTACCGGGTCCCTAACATTTTTTCTGCGTGTGTACAACTTCTCTAGGGAGTAGTGACCTACAGTAGCATTTAGATTATTAAAAGTAAATCAGTGCACGTCCTTTTATAGATATTCATGTAATTGTTCGTAAAACTTAACAATCTCGTTACCTTTTTCTATAGTTATTTTTTAGCTCATCTGATTTCATTTTTCAATTTTTTCTTAGTGGGGTAGGGGTAGGGGTTAACGGGTGGGTAGGGTTGGCCTACCCCTACCCCTATATCCCTTACCCGTCCCCCGTACCCCTAACCTACCCTGACCCCCCCTACCTGTGGCCCTGTACCCCTACCCCATACGCGTAGGAATAGGGTATGGGCCACAGGTAGGGGTGGGGGTAGGGATAGGGGTAAGGGGTACGGGTCGATAGGTGAAATTTATTAACAATTTGTGTTTCTGAAAAGGGCTCCACGTATGGTACACTGGGATTGTGTTTTGCGGACAGCAATATCTGACCTTGAAGTGAGTCCTTCCTCCTGAGCCTTAGCTAGTTATTCACATATATAGTATCTAAAATAGAATTTGAAGTTTATTTGTATTTGTAGGTTGATTATATAGATGTGAAAGAGAGAATGTTGCTCAAGGTTCCTACATATGACGAGCCTGTGGAGTTTGGAGTTCTTACTTCATTTGCTTATCCTCTAGAAGATGGTCTTGGTGAGATTGTTGTTGCCACAACTCGGATTGAAACGATGCTTGGTGATACTGCAATTGCTATACATCCTGAAGACAAAAGATACACCCATCTTCATGGAAAGTATGCTATTCATCCATTTAATGGAAGAAGGCTTCCAATAGTTTGTGATGAACAACTTGTAGATATGAACTTTGGGACTGGTGCTGTTAAGGTATGTCTTGTTTGCTCTCTTTAACTTACACAACTGAAATGATCGTCTCACATCCACTTTAGATTTCAATTTTGATAGATTTGCTGGTAATGTCTATGTAGATAACTCCAGCACACGATCCAAATGATTTTGAGGTGGGTAGACGTCACAATCTTGAGCGAATTAACATTTTGACTGATGATGGCAAAATAAATAGCAATGGTGGTCCACGGTTTGAAGGGATGCCTCGTTTTAAAGCACGTACAGCTGTGACTGAAGCATTAAAGGCAGAGGTATTATCGCCTTCTAATACACACTTCCAGATTACCTAAAAGTGGGAGATGACATTTAATAATCCATGCTCTGCTATTGAATTCATTGTATTTATTTGTACGATTGATTGTGGCCGTATCTGAATATGCTGTTCTGTGTTTTGCTGCTATATAGGGACTCTATAGAGATTCTATACCTAATGAAATGCGCCTTGGCGTTTGTTCAAGAAGTAACGATGTTGTGGAGCCTGTAGTAAAACCTCAGTGGTTTGTTGACTGTAAAGATATGGCAAAGCAGGCACTTGCTGCTGTTGTGGATGAAAATAACAGTAAAATTGAGATAATCCCTAAGCAATACGTTGCGGAATGGAAAAGGTGAATTTCTGAACAGGGTTTTTTTCTTGCACCTCAACAAGTACACATTAAACGTTGCACATTAAAGTTTTGGACATATACAATTTTGCCATGACGTTTTTTGACAAAAAACTAATGTAATCTATCCAATTTTCAATAATGAAAAACACATTTATTCTCATTTTTATGGGAAGACTTGTTTTTATTTGATCCCAAGCCTGCGGTTCTGTGTCTAAGTTTCTCATATGCGATCCATTTCGCACAAGAAAAAGAATTCAAAAAATGATATTGCGTATTTTTCTTTCTTGGATTTACTAGCTTTCATTTCTTTAATAAACCAGTAAGCTGTAAGCTAAAGTTTTTTTCATTTTAAATATTGCAGATGGCTTGATAATATCCGTGACTGGTGCATTTCAAGGCAGCTTTGGTGGGGTCATCGCATTCCTGCATGGTATGTGACGTTAGAGGGTGATGATGAGCAACATGGGTTTGGTGCCTATGATGACCGCTGGGTGGTTGCTAGAAATGAATCTGAGGCCAGAGAGTTGGCTCACAAGAAATTTGGCCCCATGTTTGAGATTTCTCAAGATTCTGATGTACTTGATACCTGGTTTTCATCTGGTCTTTTCCCACTCTCTGTATTAGGATGGCCAGAGGATACTCAAGATTTAAAGACATTTTATCCAACTTCTGTTCTTGAAACTGGTCATGATATTCTATTTTTCTGGGTGGCTCGTATGGTAATGTTGGGAATCAAGCTGGGAGGTGATGTACCTTTTACCAAGGTAAAGGTTTTATCTTTAATGAATACTCTGTTTTATTGCTGAACTTTTGAACCATGTTCCATTTTAAGGGCAATGTTCTTTTTTCCCTATGAATGTACTTTGTGTGTATTAGCAAGTTACAAGAAGTTGACTTGTGAATTTTATTGAAGGTATATTTGCATCCAATGGTTCGGGATGCCCATGGGCGTAAGATGTCCAAAACGCTTGGAAATGTGATTGATCCTCTTGAGGTCATTAATGGTATAACTCTTAAAGATCTTCACAAGAGACTTGAGGAAGGAAACTTAGATCCATCAGAGGTGGAAACTGCTAAAGAAGGTCAGAAGAAGGATTTTCCGAATGGTATCCCGGAATGTGGTGCAGACGCTCTTCGCTTTGCCCTCATTTCATACACTTCTCAGGTCTGTATGTGTGACTCCCCTAGTTGCTTAGATCATGGAATTCTCTCTCTAATTTTCTAACTGTAGTCTATTTCTTATCTATCTTTTTCCAGTCAGATAGAATCAATTTGGATATTCAGAGGGTGGTTGGGTATCGTCAATGGTGTAACAAACTGTGGAATGCAATTCGCTTTGCCATGAGCAAACTTGGAGAAGATTACCTTCCTCCGGCCGATGTGGTCCCACAGACCATACCATTTAGCTGCCAATGGATACTCTCAGCCCTAAACAAGACCATATTGAAGACTGTTTCAGCTCTAGAATCTTCTGAATTCTCAGAAGCAGCAACAGCAGTGTATTCGTGGTGGCAATTCCAATTATGTGACGTCTTTATTGAAGTTATTAAGCCATATTTTTCTTTTGAAGACCCGTCATTTGCACCTGCAAGAAGATCTGCACAAGATGTGTTGTGGTTGTGTTTAGATTATGGGCTGCGGTTACTCCACCCGTTTATGCCTTTTGTTACAGAGGAACTATGGCAGCGCCTTCCGGCTAGGATAGATTGTTCCAAGAAAGAATCCATCGTAATTAGTGAATATCCTTCCACTGTTGAGGTGAGATCATTGACACTTTATCGTATGCTAATTTATGATTCCGATGATTTAATTGCCTAATAGTATTAGACACCATAAATATATGCAAACATATGGTGATGCACAGAAATTATTTTACATTAGTTGACTCAATGTTGTCTTGAATTAAACAAAACAAATTGTTAATAGCTTCAAATATATGGTACCTGGATGTGCAATTCAGTTTATTTTGATAAAATCCTAATGCTGCCAATCTGCTCTTATTTTTCAATCAGTACATATATTGGTTAGTTACAGTACTGCAGTTTAGTCCTTCCGCTGGAACACATTTTAAAAATTGACAGTTCCTTACTAGTAGTATGACTAGTACAATAAATGCTGTAGTTCTGCTATGCCATCTCATCCTCATGAGACATATATGTAGATATTTAAGGACTTTTTATTGCAGAGCTGGACAAATGATGATGTTGAAGAGGAGATGGAAAAGGTAACAGCTGTAGTAAAAGGACTGCGGTCGAAGAGAGCATTGTTGCCTCCCAAGGAAAGATTTGAAAGGTAAAGTGGTCATTTGTTCTATTTTTGGCATTTGAGTCAATTCTTGTAATATATACCATACCTATTTGGGAAACTCTTATTATTAAGCCCCGGCACTCTCATTTCCGTTGTTTCCCTCTTAATAAAGTATGTTCCTATTGAAAGTATTGTTATAATGACACTTATGGTTGTGAACCTCCAGGCGAGCAGCATTTGTGCTATGTCGGACATCTGAAATTGCAGAAGTAATAAAAAGGCATGAGTTGGAGATCTCTACACTCGCTAGTTTGTCATCACTGAAGGTATTTGTTATATGTTATTCATTCTGCTCTTTGAATCTTTATATACTATGTTGCCTGTTATGGTTCTCCTAAGTCCTAACCTGGAGTCCTGGACCCCCCCCCCCCCACACACGCAGGTCTCATGTGATATTGATGAGGCTCCAACTGGATGGTTTACAGAAGTTGTGGATGACTCCCTAACTGTTCTTCTGGAAGAAAAATCATCTTCCTCCACCAGTAATCCAGAGGCTGAGCTTGAGAGACTAAAGAAAAAGATGGAGGAAACCAAGAGGTTAACTCACATTATTTTAACTAATTTGTCTACAAATAAGTTTATTGTTTGATCATTTAATGATAATAGTGTGATTATATATTGTGGCAGGCAACATGACAACCTGTCCAAGAAAATGAGTACCTTGGGTTATAAAGAGAAAGTTCCTCCCAACATTCATGAGGAAAATGCATCTAAGCTGACAGCCTTGATGAATGAACTGGAATTGTTTGAAGAAAACATTGGGCGTTTGGAGAATCTAACAGCCAACACTTCCTAATTTTTTCTCTCGCTACTACTACCAGGCCTGGTACTAAATTATCATTCATAATTTTACATGTATGTGTATAACACATTTTGTGCAACTTACATGCGTTTCCCATTTCGCCCCACCCACTTGAAAGGTTTTATTTTTTAAATTTATTTTGGACATTGTATTCCATTCAACATCATATTTTTTCTTATACAAGTACTACTTTTCCTACACTTTATTGCTGTTAGTATAAGACCTATTTGGCATCATCAATATATTTTTGTAGTCTTGAATACTAAATGAATAGGTATTGGCTTATTTGGCTGAATTTGATGTCATCAAATGCGTTTTCTTTCGGAAAATTGAACTTTCACTCATTTCAGCCAAGTGGCTTGATAAATTTGCTCATTCTGAACAGTATAAGTTTCTCTTTCGCTGCCTTTGTAATATCGTTTAAAATATCTTACCAAACAGGATCGCCCCCTTGAGGCCTTGCTTGCTAATCATGCTTTGGAATTTGGATAATCTAATTTCTCTTTCACAACAATAATTGTATCCGTCAAGGCCACGAACATGGACTGCGGATTGCTTAGAAAAATATAGCATGTTTTTTAGCAAATGGTTGTTTTTAAGCTAAAAGATTAAAACTGAAAAATAAAGCTTTAAACTGCTCGAGCACATTTGTTATATACTATTTCATTTTCATTTACCCCAGTGCCGCAAAGGCTCCCACCTACGATGGGGTAAGGGGGGGTCGGATGTACGCAGTCTTACCCCTATACTAAAGCACAGAGAGACTGTTTCCGGTAAATGATACCGTTATATACTATCTAAACAATAAACACATTTATTTTAAAAAAGTAAAATACCGTTAAATATTTTTCTCGATAAACATAATAAATGCGGTAAATGATAGCTATAGAGCACATGCACTTTCTTACCATATCTACGTGGTTGGGGGGAATGGTCGGAGTCTTTTCATGTCTTTTAGGCTTGTAGCTAGTGAAACTTGAGGTGTTTAGAATTTAGATTAGTCCGAAGGCAGTGGTTCAAGTGATCAAGTCTCCTTTTCAAGTGTTTCGAGAAGCTGGGCATGTTATAATTTCTGAATGGTGTTCTGCGATTATGTCTAACTGTTGTATCAGGTAGCGCAGATTAAAGCGGGTAAATGCCCAGTTTTCTTCGTTTATTTGTGCTAGTTACATTAGTATTCATAATTTCCCCCGACCCACCCGGTGTTCTACACGATCATTAGCAAGGCCAATGCAATATCGGGCCCAGTCGGTATAGTCCTCGGGTCAGAGGCTTATTGAGACGTTGCTAGTTTTACGTGTCACCTTGTTCTAACAACAATATCTATGACAACAAAAACAACAACAATAGACAATCACTGCAAAATGGCAGGTCATTGGCTTGCGGTTCTATGGCAAGATTGTGTTATGGGGTTCTTGTATGGAAGTATGGAACCCCCATAAAATCCTTACTCCCCACATACACATTCAAACAATATATATAACCTCATATTCCTTATTCAATATCCAACACGGTAGACACTATGTTACAAATTAATGCACTATAATAAACTTCATGTTTAAGAGTAATTTATTAAAACCATTGAATTCGGAATACGGTTAATTTAGTACCTCTTGCGTGGGGAACAACTCTCTTGATATCTTATGAATAATAGCTTTTGGTTTAAATGTCTTTTTAATCCCTGTAAATATAGCACTCTTTAGTTTTTTTTGATAATATTTCACTTTTCAACCTCACAGTTTTATTACTTTTTGGAGACTAGTATTGAAGTTAAAACAAAGTGAAACTAAATAATACTCCATACTTCGTAACTAATTATTCATATATGTTTTTATGAATAGATATTAATTGCGATTATGTATCTTTAAAGTGATATGACAAAGAAAACACTACAAAAAAACATGGGATTGACAAGGATTTTGACAGGGATACGTCAATTCCGTGCCAAAAACACTTTGACACGAGCTATTTGGCACGAAAAATCGGTAAATCCGTGCTAAATTTCGTGCCAATTCCGTAATTTTTTTTTGTAGTGAAATCAGATATTGCATTAGGCCATTAGTCATGATTATTTTTAAGATTGGCCTGGTGAGAGATTGAAAAGAAAATTAGTAAAGTTACATGGATGAACAACAATAAAATATTTTTGTAGGGGGTGAAACAAATTGTGCGAAGTATTATATTTGCATGTATGAGAACATATTTGACCGTTGATCCGCCAGGTTCTAAAATGTAGCGCCAAGGTAGACACTCCATATTAAAGTGCGAAATTTCCACTGTTTTCACATTAGTCCAACTTTTAACACTAATTTTTAGGGAAAAATACCTCAATAATACTAAAACATGTGAGTTTTTCCAAAATATGATCATGTGTGTTTTTATATCTTCCGTAATTCCGTATGACCAAACATATAAAGCCAAACATGGGTGCACGGTTGAATAGGAGGGGACTATTGGGAAAATAACCACCCACGTGAATGGAGTCATCATGTGAGGTCATATATTAGGATAAATATTAAACTAATCATATAATGGATACTACATAATCTTTTAGTAATATCCATGATAAATTTCTCTAATTTTTACTCATATATGTATCTCAAAGATTAAAGTGATTTTAGAGACGGTAAGACATGGATTCTCAAGGAAGTGTTTGCTAATTGCTATTGCTTTTATTTTAAAAATGATTTTTAAATGATTTTTAAGTGATTTTAGAGAAAGTGTTTAATAATAAAAGTTGGTATTGTTTGAGAAAAAAATTACTTTTGAAAAAGAAAAAATGATAGTGTGATAAAATATGTACTTTTTGCGTAATAGAAAAATGAAAAGCAATTTAGAGAACTTTCCCACCTGCTTTCAACTTTTAGCTTTTAAATGCGTAACTTAAGTAGAAGTTGTTTACGTAATTTATGAGAGTGCTTGTGATTGATTCTGCTTTAAAAAGTTATTTTTAAAGTGACTAATAGTAAAAGTTAATAAAGTTTCAGAAAAGTAGTTTCAAAAAATGTAAAAGTTAATAGTATCTACTAAAACAATGTTTTTTACGTGATAGACAAACGAGAATGTTGAAAACACAGAATACTCAAAATAAAATTAAATACTCAAAAACACATTCATGACGAAATGTTGAAAATGACAGAATGATAAATGCTGGTATACTCGTATATGGACATATGGTATTAATAGGGATGGACCCGGGCCGGTCCGGTTCCGGGCCGGGCCCGGGCGGGCTTTTTTTTTGCAAAATGTTGGGCCCGGAACCGGCCCGGGTTGATACCGGGTCCGGGCCTAACCGGGCCGGGCCGGGGCCGGGTCAATGTCTATTTTTTTTTGCTTTCTTGTTATCCCCCGACCCCCCCCTCACCCCCACCCCCAAACCTCCCTAAAACACCCAGCCCTACCCTAGGAAAAGAAAAAAAATTGAAAAAAAATGACCCGGGCCCGGCCCGAACCACCCGGGCCCGGCCCGAACCACCCGGGCCCGGCCCGAACCACCCGGGCCGGTTCGCCCAAAACTGGGCTCGAGCCCGGCCCGCCCGACCCGCCCAAACGGGCTAAAAGTCCGGAACCGGCCAACCGGTCCCGGTCCGGTCCGGGCCCAAACAGTAGCGGTTCCGGGCCGGTTCCGGGCCGGGCCGGCCCGGCCCAGTCCATCCCTTATTGGTATATCACCATGCAAACTATTCATGATTTTGTGGTATCGGCTCTCCATGTCTGGATGGCCCGCTAAAGTCTAATTACACTACAAAAAAAATCACCAGATTGACAGGGATTTTGGCAGGGAAATGCCAAATCCGTGCCAAAAACACTTTGACACGAGCTATTTCGCACGAATAATCAGTAAGTCCGTTCCAAATTCCGTACCAATCCCGTTTTTTTTGTAGTGTTATAACACCAATATTTTATGTACATTACTATTATACGGAGTAATATATATTCATCATCACACTCCCAAAATGAACGCCCAGGCAAATTATTCATTCTTATAGTGTACATTCTCACCGTTCTAATAAGATCCCCTAACGTTTGTAAATTTTAAAACGGCCTATAATGTTTTTATTGTACAAATATAAGTAATTAGTGTAATCTTTTGGCAACTTTATACGATAGTATATGATAAAAAGTATTATTTTTCAAATTTGAGAGTAATTTAACTTCTTCCATTTAGATAATTAAAATATGTTAGTCTTATTTTGAAATTCCAAAATGTTTTTACTATTATTTTGAAATTATTTCGTGATTTTTAATGTTTAGAAATTTGGAAATTAAGTTAAAAGTCTAATCAAATCGTAAAGTTGATACTGAATATATATGAAATCCACCACCACAAAGTTGAATGAGAACTTGTTTGAGGGACGAGATTATCAGCTCTACATACATTAGCTTTAGATCGAAATATCTAATTTGTTTGTGATAGTAAAGAAAAGCTAATATATTTGTAGTTGGAGTTTGTAGGTATTCATGAAATATTTTATATGGCAATATGATTCTTGTTATACATTAAAGGGATAGATATGACAACATTTTTTCATGAATAATGTTTTACCTTTTTGTAGCTAGGTTCTTATGTAAAACTTTTAGTAATAACTATCTATTAAATTTCAATTCTATTGGAAATACGTGCGCGGCATAGTTAGGGGAGCTTATTGGACTCTTATTACTGTTCTAAAAGTCGTTCTACGCACTCGATCGACTAGTCCCCGCCTATATGCTAGACGGTAGCCGGATAGGACGCCCTGATTTTATTTTAGGTGCCTCAACTAATTGATTTGATGTCTATGTGAATTGATCAGCCGCCTAGGACGCTTAGTTGCCCCCTAGAGCGCTAGAACGACCATATAGAGTATCTAGATTCGTCGAATATTTTTTTTTTCATTTTTTGCTTTTTAATTTTAGCTTTCTAAGAGATATACGTACTTTTAACTTGAACAACGCATATGAAGAAAGTTAATAATTGTAGATTAAGATGAAAATTATATATTTTGCAGATAATGAAGCTTAATTTTTTTATTACATAGTATTTAATACGTAGTAATATTTATCAAATGAGTAGGTATAACATGTTATTAAATGTGACAACTCCATCATTCATGCATGTTAATATGTATGTATAAAATATATACACAAACATAACATTACTAATCATATCTAGGTCACAAACATTGATCATACTCTTATTCACCATAAATTTAATAATACTTTTAATCTCTATGTAAAACTTTATCTTGTAAATTTAATTTGTATCTTCCAACTCGGAGTCCGTTTGGTAGCTCCCTTTTCAGCTTATCAGACTTATCAGTCAGTTTTTTC